CAGCCATCAAAAACGATGAGTTTGTGTCCTTTGTAGGGACATGGATGAACCTGGAAACCATCATTCTCAGCAAACTGACACAAGAAAAGAAAATCAAACACCGCATGTTCTCACTGATAGGTGGGTGTTGAACAATGAGAACACATGGACACAGGGAGGGGAGCATCACACACTGGGGTCTGTAGGGGGGAAATAGGGGAGCGACAGCGGGGGATGGGGAGTTGGGGAGAGACAGCATGGGGAGAAATGCCAGATATAGGTGATGGGGAGGAAGGCAGCACATCACACTGCCATGTTTGTACCTATGCAACAATCTTGTGTATTCTTCGCATGTACCCCGAAACCTAAAATGCAATTAAAAAAAAGTGACAATACCAAGTGTCGTTGGCACTGTGTAACAGTGAGCGTTTTCATTCACTATTGGTGGGAATGAAACTTAGTAAAAGCCACTTTGGAAGATTTAAATTGAATGTGAATGTACCCTTTGACACAGTAGTTTTACTTCTTAGAGATTTACTCTAAAGAAACTCTTAAACATGTGCACCAGGAGACTTGTAAAACAGTGTTATTTAGGATCCTGATTTATATGTAGTAGCAAAAAACTAGAAACAACCCAGATGACTCTAAAAGGAGAATGGATAAATTGTGATATAGGTATAGAGTGACATATATTGTACAACAGTGAAAAAGAGTAGATTGCAGCTATACATCAACTTGGATGAATCTCAGAAACATAATATTGGGTGGAGGGGTGCGAGCAAACCACAGATAATACTTCAGTTTACACAGTGTTCAGAATCAGGTAAAATCTTTAGGATCTGGCACATAGTAAATTCTGTAGAAGTAATTGGGTGCAGTTATTAATATTATTACACATGTAAATATATAAGGAAAAGCACAATTAATACAAACCTCTTACCCGTAGTTACTTTTCTCTCTCTGCCAAGAGAGGCCTGTGATCATTTAGGAATGTATTGTGGGTTTCTTTTTTTTTTCCCATTTATTTATTTTATTGCATTTTAGGTTTTGGGGTACATGTGAAGAACATGCAAGATTGTTGCATAGGTACACACGTGGCAGTGTGATTTGCTGCCTTCCTCCCCAACA